GTTGCATCCATGTACAATTTTGGGGCCCAAGATCCATGCAACACAATGCTTTAGGAACCTGTTCCCGAGAGTGAATTGATTGCTATATGCTTTTGTAGAACACAGAATAAAAACACTGTACCATTAAATACCTTAGCCTTTATTTATTGTTAAAAAGGGTAAAACCTCACAACTGTGTGTAGCTCCAGCTAGCATTGTGCAAGCTGTGAGAGTGGGTGGAGTGATGGGGAAACTCAGGAGTGCTGTGAAGTGAAAAGGAATGTGTGGGCATAGAGGTGGGGTTGGCAAAGAATTGTACATCTGCTGCAGTGGCGCTCGAACTCACAGCTGCAGATTGAGCAGATCCAACAGAGACTTGAGCATCTCTGTATGATCCTCCATAACTTTTATCATCCGCTGTGTTGCTTGCCTAGCAAAAGCAGCATTCTCTTTTCTGTCCTGCCTTTCGGCTTCCCAGCACTCTTTCCATTCCCTGGTCTGTCTCTCATCGCGCTGTATAACCTCACGGAACATGTCTTCTTTGCTACGCCTAGGCTTTTTTCTTATGTGCCGCAGCCAGTCCGCGGGCATGCGTGGCATGTTCTTCAAGGTCTGTGCTGAACAGAAAAGGGATTGTTACATTCCAGCAAACGATTGAAACATTTTGGTAAAAAGAGTATTTTGCTAGTAGAAATCACTTTCTCTCTGAGACTCTAGGCAGGCACACAGCTCCGCGAGCACTCCAGTCATGGTGAGTTTCGGGAGTGGGGGAAGGCTGTTGTGCGTATGGACAAAAAGGTCACGGCTTGCAGGGCACCTTTGCAGGGATCTGATCTCATTCTAAAATTATCCCACACTTTTTCACAGGCAGCCAACCTGCTGGCTGACATCTTGCTGCTGAGGGTGACCAGAGAAACCAGGGCTCAGCTGCTGAATGCTTGTGGCTTTCACCCCGGTCTATATGCAGCTCAGCTATGTGTCGCTTTGGTCCCAGCTCCAGTGATTGCTAAATGGCATGGTACAGTTTCCTACAATGGGGGAACTAACAAGGCTGCAATCCCTTGGAATCTGCAGCAGAGGATTAACAAGTACCTTTTGGAAACTTTCCAGAGCGCCTCTCGGGAGGATTCCCTGCAGGTCTCGATGTCCATCAACACTCTGCTTGGCCATGCAGATTAGCTACACGGGGTAATGTCCAGATCAAAGAAAACACTACCTGCCTCCCACTTTTCGATTCCCTACACAAGCCACAGCAACTTACGCGGAATCTCTTCTGCTTCCTGCTCCCTTTGAGCACTTCTGGAGTGGAGAAAAGTTCCTGGCTGCCTGCTCCACTGGGTGACCCCGCTGGGAGCACCACATCCTCTTCTAGCTCGTTGTCTTCATCCACAATTTAAACCTCCGGGTTACTCCCCCTTTCAGCTGCATGTGAAGTATCCATGGGGCAATCGGCGATGGAGGTGGGGTCACCACCGATGATAGCATTCAGCTCCTTATAGAAGCGGCAGGTCTTAGGTGCACCACTGGAGCGATGGTTTGCCTACCGCACCTTATGGTATGCCTGCCTCAGCTCCTTTATCTTCGCTCTGCATTGCTGCGTGTCCTGATCATATCCCTTTTCGCACAAGCCCCAATAAATTTGCCCATATGTGTCCCGATTCCTACGGGTCACTCGCAGCTGCGACTGAACAGATTCCTCTCCCGATTTACTGATGAGATCCAACAACTCAGCAGTGGTCCAAGCGGGAGCACGTTTGGTGTGATAGCCAGCCATGCTCACCTGGGAAGCTTTTCTGGGAAGTCAGCAAACAGGAAATGAGATTTAAAATTCCCAGGGCTTGCAAGGGGGAGGGGCGGGTTGGCTGCAGGGCAGTGGAGTTCAAACCGCTGACCAGAGTGGCAGCATGGGAATTGTGGGATACTTTCTGGAGGCCAATAAAATAAAATAAAAACCTGTGGTGTCTACACTGGCTGTTTGTCGACAGTAAAGGGAGGGGAAAAGACAAAAGTCTCTCGCAGGAGTGGAAGTTTTTTGTCACCAAATCTAGGCGTGTTTTTTTTCCGAAAAAAGTGACCTTGCAGTATGTACGCTATCGCTGTTTTGTCGTCAAAAGCCAGTTTTTGGCCACAAAACTTGCAAGTGCAGACAAGCCCTTAGTATCATTTGTCACCTACTTAGTCTCCATCACCAGTGTGATAGAACCATCATCAAAGTTAAAGTGAAAACTGCATTTTCGGGGAATGTATATCTGTCAATAGTGAAGTCAAAAATACCTGGTGAAAATACTTGAATGTGAGGTAAGTTCTAGTATAATTAATAATGTAGTAATGTCTTTTCCTTAACATCAATACTTACAGTACATCTGTTCAGCAACACAGACTATTGTAAGCACGTCAGATTTGTCCTAAACCAGTTTCTCATAAAATAACATACCGAATTCAAGGATTTGGTCCTTATCTTCAAGGCACTCAGTGGTCTGGGTCCAGGATACCTCAGTGATCATCTAAAGAGGACTGTGGTTGACAACATTGCTTCTTGGGTACAATGGAACTTTCCATCACAAGGTTAAAGTTCCTCTGTGCAGAAAACAGAGCTTTCTCAAGAGCCAGTTGAACACTGTAGAACAAACCTCACCATCTTCCATTCCAAATGCAAAGTGCACTTCTTTGACCTTGCCTTCTGTAATATAAACACATAGTACATGTAATCTATTTTAAAAAAACAGCGCTGCACCATATCCACAATTCTTCCTATTGGGAGAAGATGAGAGCTGCTCTCTAGAAGGCACTCAGAAAACATGTATTATATTATTGGGACTGAAGATATTGTTTGGTTAGATATAATTTTAACTTTGATAAAGCAACAAAAGTAATATATACAGTGGAAATATGCAAGTATAAATTCTATTGTTGTTTAGAGGATGAGTTGATCAATGTGGTTGAATGAGAAGGTGCATAACTACTATTTTGTTTTTCTGAATTAGATTGTGTGAGCTCTTTGGGGAAATGACTGTGTCTTGGTAAATTTTTGTATACTACTAAGCATACTGATGGTGGCCAGTAATTGATAGTCCATTATTGACTATGCTTGAAATATGTGCAGATGTTGCAAATGGAGGAAGGTTGTGTTCCAGCTTGGGAAGATGATGTTGAATGTGTTCTACCTGTTCTTATATGTCAGGAGCTATTATCTCATTTCACTGCTTTAAGATACACTTTTTGATCATTAGTGGGATGAATAGCAACCTCTTTATATTCTTTTATTGGAAACCTGAAGCTTTAAGCATACCTACTACTCAAAATGTAAGTGTTAGTGGGATCTTCATGTTGTATGTTCCATGTTATGACTCCCACAGAATGCAAACATGTTTTGGGCCAGTTCTTCAGCGTGTGTAAATCAGTGGAGCTATCCTGATTTAGTACAGCTGAAGTGCTGGTCTTTAGGTTTTCAGGGCATGCCTATTTAGTGCATATAAATAGAATATAGATTAAATATAAATATAGATTCTTCCTTAAACTTATTTTAACATTTTCTATCTTATTGAAGCACAAATGTGATCTCTTGGGTAAAATAAAACTGCTAAGTAAATTATAAAATTTTCATATATAGTGAGATACATTTATTAAAGGTTGATAACATGAGCATGACTTTAGGAAATAAAAATAGAACTGGGAGATTAAACAGAGGAATTTATTTTAGTTACAATAAATTATCTGCACAGTTCAGTTCCTTGCCTTTGAAGCAGAGAAAAACTATCTAATGCCTTGAAAAGCATAGTTTTGTTTGTTGTGGCAAGTCATTGGTGAATTATAAAGGTTGTTGTAATAAACATACATCAGGGTCCCTTTCAGAACATTGTATAGCTTTTCAGATTAAATTTGTGGGATAGGAGCAGACAGCTTTTTTACTCAACATCATTGATAAGTCACAATTCTGAAAATACATGGTCTCTGATGCTTATTTTTAATGTACTCTCAATGAAATGTTACTCGGTGGATTACAATTAAATTGAGTATTACGTGCAAAAAACTGTTTGCGTGTATATTTTAAAATCTTCACAATGCTAGATTGAAAATGTACCCAATAAGAGAAAACTGCATTGTCTTGAAAAATTGTACATTTAACTTGAAAATAAGTGGTATCAATCCCAGTAGGAGTTTTGTTGCTGATGGGTTCTTTTATCTTTTCTTCCATTTTTGTCCTCTAACATGTTTTGTTGAAGGCTTTAATGAGCTCTTGCATTTACTTGTGGTTATGAATTGTTTAGATTATAAATGTTTCTAATTTTGTTGTGATTTTTAAAGCATTTTTAAGAAATGTTCTGAAATAAAATATAGCTTTAGCTATAAAACTCACACTAGCTAGTGCTGTCTTTAGGACTTGACCCCCAAAGCCCCTATATGTCACAAAGAGTAAATGCACACTTGGTGAGTTATCTGCACATACTTGGCAGATGCATAGGAAGCAACCATGTGGGGGAGTAAAGAAATGCACATCTTACTTAACATGGTGAATTGGTGCTTCTAGTTTGGTGCACCAGAAACAAAATGGCATATGTTGAGCACAGACATGATATGACTCCACACCCCAACTTCACAAGAGGATGAGTAGTTCCGCAAGGAGCTGAGCACCCTTTTAAACCCTGTAGTAACTCTTTTGCTGGCTCTGCCTACAGAATTCTGCATGTGAGGTGGTTTGTCAAGCAATTACTCAACATCCTGCTCGAGGGCCCCGATCCTGCAATGCTTTTGCATGTGCTTCACTTTACTACCATAAGTCCGTCCATTGAGGGACTACTCATGGTAGTAAGATTAAGCATGTGCAAAAGTGTTTGTAGGATAGGGGCCTAAGATCATTTGTCCATAAATGTACTTATTAGTTTCAAATTAATCAGCATTTGCAGTGAAAAACAAAACTCATGCTTATGAAAATATATCACTTTATTGGTGTTTTGTTCTGTAGGATAAAAATATACTGTAAGTCATAAAATCATACTTAATTTTCTCTCTTGTTTCCAAAGCAGACATCAGCTGAATCTCAGGAAAAGACGACTGAATCTCAAGCTAATGAAGAAATAGTGACAAGTTTTCAGCAACCGAGCCTGGTAAAGTTCAGTGTTATCTAGGAATGTTAAAACATAATAAGTTATTGTGCTTGTGTTTGCTTGCTGTCTTGCTCAGATAGGCAGTTCATGTTTCAAACTGATAAAAGTGAAAGGAAACGAAACAGTGTTTTAAAACATTTATAATACTGCATAAAAGTCAAATATGCAGTTCTTTTTCTTACTTTTTTTCTCTGTCTCCCCCTGGATCTGATTCTCCTACTACTGGACATATGCAAAATCCCACTGAAATCAATGGCAAGTACTTTTGAGGGCCAGGACATTACACTAATCTGTTTGTACAGTGCCTAGCACAAGGGGGCCCTGTTCTTGGTTGGTCCCTAAGCACTACAAATAATAAACACGATTAATCAATTATTCAAGTTAACTGCTTGTATTGAGTGGGCCCTTGAGTAAATAAAAGTTCTTATATATTTGTGTGTATATTTTGTTTTTCTGTAACATACATTCTAGCTGTATATGGTTACACATTTAAGCTTAGACAAGTTCTTAGTGTTGCTCACAGTTGTAAACTGAGCAGCTGAGAGATATATAATGTGTTGAGTAGTATATGTCTTTGTTGTATATCTCTTTTCAACTTTTCAGGTTACACGTTGTAGGAACCATAGACCAGACCATGCCATCAATTTTTGAGCAAAAATCCCCATTAGTATTAATATTTAGTGCAATTCATTGTAGTTCCTTTTGGTTACTATTCCACCTTTCTTTGTAAGTCCATTTATCCATAGAGGAATTGATTGCTTTTAGTCTTAACTTATCAAATATTGCAGATGCTGTATAAAATAAAAATAGGCAATGAAGGAAAAATTGCACAGCAGGAAACATTATGTTGAGAAATTTGTCCTGTAGGATACAAATATCTGTAGCCCAGTGTCTCCTGCAGTTCTGGATGCCTGGGCGGCTTACATCTCTCTGCAGCTCATGGAGGCTGATCAGTGTTGTGGCGCTGCCTGGTCTGGCCAAACTCACTGTACTTCTGCTTGCCACTAGATTCTCTGCCTCTGCAGCAGAAATCAGTAGCAGTTTTGTTTGCTTCCATCCTTACTCCTTCTATTTTAACTTTTCTGCTGGGTTTTCTGGGCAGTGGGGAGCAGCGTTCTCCTTTCTCTGTATTCCTCCTCCTCCCTGGGTTGGTTAACTTCTCCGGTTTAACCCTCTCTGAGTTTCCGCTACAGTGTCTTCCCTGCTGGCTACTCTGCCCCTTACAGGCATGGCAGAGCAGCCAAGAAAGCACCAGGTCAAATCCAAGTGGTCATCTATATATGAGGCAGCCTTCTCAGGCTTGGAAGATAGTGAGTTGTGTTCACCCTGCATCCAGCCTCTGTTAAGTCCCATGACTACGAGTCAGACAGGCGGGCGAGGGTCACCCAGTCACTGAGGCAGCCATGACTCCAATTGGGGAAAAATGGATGAGGAACCCCAATGCAGAGCTGGGAGGGGCTCCAAAAGCGAGGAGGACCCGGACCACTCGACTCAGGGGTAAATACCAGGGGACCACTGCAGAACAAAAAGGGCCACAAGTCCCATCCCCCGCAGTCTTAAAGTGGGTCAGAGCACCATGGGGAAAGAAGCAGGGCTTCTAATCAGCCCCCTCCCTCCCAAACTTAGGAGGGCTCTGACAAGGAGTTTCTCCCTCCCTGCTCTGAGAGGAAATGGGACCCAGTAGGCAGATTCTGAGACAGACCTCTTGAGAGGATTCTAGGCTCTAAGGAAGACAAGCCACAAAAGTCCTCACCAAATTAAGAAACACAGTAAAAGAACTAAAAAAGAGCCACCGTGGCTTAACAACCATGTAAAAGAAGCAGTGAGAGATAAAAAGACTTCCTTTAAAAAGTGGAAGTCAAATCCTAGTGAGGCAAATAGAAAGGAGCATAAACACTGCCAGATTAAGTGCAAGAATGTAATAAGAAAAGCCAAAGATGAGTTTGAAGAACAGCTAGCCAAAAACTCCAAAGGTAATAACAAAATGTTTTTTAAGTATATCAGAAGCAGGAAGCCTGCTAAACAACCAGTGGGACCCCTTGATGATCGAGATACAAAAGGAGCGCTTAAAGACGATAAAGTCATTACGGAGAAACTAAATGGATTCTTTGCTTCAGTCTTCACGGCTGAGGATGTTAGGGAGATTCCCAAACCTGAGCCGGCTTTTGTAGGTGACCAATCTGAAGAACTGTCACAGATTGAAGTGTCACTAGAGGAGGTTTTGGAATTAATTGATAAACTTAAGTCACCGGGACCAGATGGCATTCACCCAAGAGTTCTGAAAACTCAAATGTGAAGTTGCGGAACTATTAACTAAGGTTTGTAACCTGTCCTTTAAATCGGCTTCTGTACCCAATGGCTGGAAGTTAGCTAATGTAACGCCAATATTTAAAAAGGGCTCTAGAGGTGATCCTGGCAATTACAGACCGGTAAGTCTAACGTCGGTACCAGGCAAATTAGTCGAAACAATAGTTAAGAATAAAATTGTCAGACACATAGAAAAACAAACTGTTGAGCAATAGTCAACATGGTTTCTGTAAAGGGAAATCGTGTCTTACTAATCTATTAGAGTTCTTTGAAGGGGTCAACAAACATGTGGACAAGGGGGATCCAGTGGACATAGTGTACTTAGATTTCCAGAAAGCCTTTGACAAGGTCCCTCACCAAAGGCTCTTACGTAAATTAAGTTGTCAAGGGATAAAAGGGAAGGTCCTTTCATGGATTGAGAACTGGTTAAAAGACCGGGAACAAAGGGTAGGGATTAATGGTAAATTCTCAGAATGGAGAGGGGTAACTAGTGGTGTTCCCCAAGGGTCAGTCCTCGGACCAATCCTATTCAACTTATTTATAAATGATCTGGAGAAAGGGGTAAACAGTGAGGTGGCAAAGTTTGCAGATGATACTAAACTGCTCAAGATCGTTAAGACCAAAGCAGACTGTGATGAACTTCAAAAAGATCTCACAAAACTAAGTGATTGGGCAACAAAATGGCAAATGAAATTTAATGTGGATAAATGTAAAGTAATGCACATTGGAAAAAATAACCCCAACTATACATACAATATGATGGGGGCTAATTTAGCTACAACAAGTCAGGAAAAAGATCTTGGAGTCATTGTGGATAGTTCTCTGAAGATGTCCGCGCAGTGTGCAGAGGCGGACAAAAAAGCAAACAGGATGTTAGAGATCATTAAAAAGGGGATAGAGAATAAGACTGAGAATATATTATTGCCCTTATATAAATCGATGGTACGCCCACATCTCGAATACTGTGTACAGATGTGGTCTCCTCATCTAAAAAAAAGATATACTGGCACTAGAAAAGGTTCAGAAAAGGGCAACTAAAATGATTCAGGGGTTTGGAACGGGTCCCATATGAGAAGAGATTAAAGAGGCTAGGACTCTTCAGCTTGGAAAAGAGGAGACTAAGGGGGGATATGATAGAGGTATATAAAATCATGAGTGATGTGGTGAAAGTGGATAAGGAAAAGTTATTTACTTATTCCCATAATACAAGAACTAGGGGTCACCAAATGAAATTAATAGGCAGCAGGTTTAAAACAAATACAAGGAAGTTCTTCTTCACGCAGCGCACAGTCAACTTGTGGAACTCCTTACCTGAGGAGCTTGTGAAGGCTAGGACTATAACAGCGTTTAAAAGAGAACTGGATAAATTCATGGTGGTTAAGTCCATTAATGGATGGGTAAGGAATGGTGTCCCTAGCCTCTGTTTGTCAGAGGATGGAGATGGATGGCAGGAGAGAGATCACTTGATCATTGCCTGTTGGTCCACTCCCTCTGGGGCACCTGGCATTGGCCACTGTCGGTAGACAGGATACTGGGCTAGATGGACCTTTGGTCTGACCCGGTACGGCTGTTCTTATGTAAATCTGCAGCAGAGCTTCTGAGCTCCCAAAGGGCACAAAAAGGTTTCCAAAAAATCTAAAAAGGGAAAGAAAAAGTTCAAAAAATCCAGGTGATATAGGTTCCCTGACTCCTCTTACTCCTTCACTCCTCTGTGACAAAGTTCCTCCTCTATCTTGGTGGGTCCTGCGCTTATTGGCGGATTTTCTTGCCTCAGAGATTCACCATGTGGGTTGGGAAACAGCCCAGAGACCTTCCCCTCTGGAAGAACCCACAGTCCAGGTCAATTGGGAGGTTTGGGGGGAACCCGGGCCCGCTCTCTACTCCGGGTTCCAGCCCAGGGCCCTGTGGACTGCAGCTGTCTATAGGGCCTCCTGTAACAGCTGCATGACAGCTACAACTCCCTGCACTACTTTCCCATGGCCTCCTCCAAACACCTTCCTTATTCTCACCACAGGACCTTCCTCCTGGTGTCTGATAACGCTTGTGCTTCTCAGTCCTCCAGCAGCACACCCTCTCACTCTCAACTCCTTGCACCTCTTGCTCCCAGCTCCTCACACTTGCACCACAGACTGAAGTGAGCTCCTTTTAAAACCCAGCTGCCCTGATTAGCCTGCCTTAATTGGCTCCAGGTGTCCTAATTAGCCTGCCTGCCTTAACTGGTTCTAGCAGGTTCCTGATTACTCTAGTGCATCCCCTGCTCTGGTCACTCAGGGAACAGAAAACTACTCATCCAGTGACCAGTATATTTGCCCTCTACCAGACTCCTGTACCCCACTGGTCTGGGTCTGTCACACCTCCTTCTCTGAGGAAGGTGAGCTGTCTGCCTCTGAAACCTGAGCAGGTTCCTGTGAGTAAGCCCCAGAGTAAATTTCTCCCCTCAAAAACTTCCCCTGAGATGGCAATACCCCTTCACTCTGCCTTCAATGAAGTGTTTAGGAATGAATGGAACGAGCCTGATAAGGGCAACCACATTAACAAGAGTGACCTCAGGCTATATAATATTCAAGAACCAAAGGACTCTATTGCAGACACCCTGAAGGTGGATGCCGCTGAAGCATCCTTTGCCAGGGATATGGTATTCCCTCGGGGAGTTCTACCTTATGGACCCCACAGATACGAAGATGGAGACCACTTTCAAAAGGACTTTGAAGCCTCCTCTGAGTGTCCATGGCAACTACCTGCTTTGCAGGAGCATCTTGTTCCTGGCTGAATGATCTCAAAGCTTTAAGGGCAGAGATCACCCTGACTTTGGCTCCACTTTAAATAAAGTCTCCCTAGCAACAGTATTTGCAGCTGACGCATCAATGGATGCCATGAGGTGCTCAGCATGATCCGTGGCTTCCAGCTCACTAGCTGGGCACACCTATGGCTTTGTCCCTTGAAGGTGGACGCTCACTTTAAACAGGTCCTATGCTTGGACAAGTTTACAGGCTCCCTCCATTTTGGAGAAAAGCTGGAAAAGGTGGTGGCTGACGACACAATAATATCCAAACAGTCTCTCCCTTCCCCACTAACGGCCCTCAGGAGAGACTATAGACCAGCCTTCAGCGGGAGGCACTCCTTTCTCTCCTTGTCCCTTTGCTGGTATCTCTGTGAGGACAATAGATTCCCCAATGGAAAATAGTGGAATCGAGGTCTTGGAGGGAAATCCAGAGGGACCTCAGCCCTCCAGAAAAATCCACTTTATGACAAAATCGCATAGGCCTCCGCCCAGAACAGACGCTATGGGGCAGGTTTTCCCATTTCATAGAGGAATTTTTCATTGATCACAGAAAAGTGGGCCAGGGAAATAGTGAACCAGGGATGCTCCCCGAGTTACAGGCTCCACCCCATGCATTCTTCATCCAGCTACAACGATGCCATATAATACAATCTGATCCAGAATTAAATATCTCATCTTCTGGATATCGGACTAATAGAGAGTGTTCCCGCAGAAGAAAAGTTCTCTGGGTTCTACTCCATCTTCTTCATTGTACAGAAAAACATGGGGGGTATCAGAGCTCACCTCAAAAGGCTAAATTAGTGGATGAAAAAAATGAAAGTTTTGGATGTTGATACTGGCATCTATGGTGCTACCCCCCCCCCATACCTATGGTAAGGGGAGGAGACTTCTTGACTTCAATAGATCTAACGTTGCATATCTCCATATTCCAATCACACCATGCCACTACAGCCTTCTGAGATTCACCTATGTCAGGAGACATCAGTACTGTCCTTGGCCTCCAGGATTTTGATAAAGATATTAGTGGTGATAATAGCCAGACTCAGGTTGCAAGGAACTCACCTGTACCCCTTTCTGGATGACATCTGATCAGAGCTCCATCACAGTCAGCAGTGCACAGGCCCCCATGTTGGATCTTGAATCGCCTCCAGGTGCATGGCTTCATCATCAGTGCCAAGAAAAGTTCTCTGGTTCCACCCAGGAATTTATTTTCTTGCTCCAGATTCGCAGGAGGCCCGCCATAGAACTATATCTCCAAGTGCTAGGACTGTTATGCATAGGGATTGCTCCATGGGCAGTCACACATCAAAAGCCTTCATACTAAAGGTCTGGGACCACTCTACAGAACCCATGAAAGATCAAGTATGGGTCCCAACATAGATGTTCAACTCTTACAGTGGTGGTCAGACCATGACAAGGTCTGTAAAGGCATGCTGATCTACCTTCCAGATCCTTTAGTCTTCACAACCAACGCTAGCATGGAGAGCTGGGGAGCTTACTTGGAGATCCTTGGCCTCTGAAGGGAAGAGGAAAAGTCTCACAGGATAAACTTCCCAGAGCTGAGAGAGGTCAAGCTAGCACTGAAAAGGTTCTAGCCACCCTAAAGGGGAACTACAATCTGGCTCAATCAGACAATACAACTACTGTCATGTATTTAAACAGTCAAAAGGGAACAAAGAATCTGACACTACACGCAGAAGCAATAGAAATAATGAGGTGGGCAGAACAGTTTCTTCTTTTCCTCAGAGCTATCCATATTGTAGGGGTCCTGAACCAAAAAGCAGACTGGCTCAGCAGGTGTAGGGTCAACAACTCTGAGTGGTGCCTGAATCAATTTTTCTATCTCATTGTTCAGGTGTTTGGCCTCCCTTCAACTGACCTGTTCAGAAAAAGAGGCCAAAATATTTCACATACAAGGCAGACGCCGGAGCCATGGGAACAGTGCCTTATATCACAGTTGTCCACAGGACCTATTTTATGTGTTTTACCCTTTCCTCTAGTGCGGAAGGTGGTCTAGAAAATAAAATGAGCATAGGAGATGGTAATACTGATAATTCCTCATTAGCTGAGGAGACCTTGGTTCTCAGACCTGATAGAGCTGACATGAAAGCTCCCACTCCAGGTTTAATGGAAACCGGACATTTTCTTGCAAGGTCCTCTCCTTCATCCTGATCTGAAACAGCTCACCTAATAGCCTGGCTATTGAAAGGAAAGTACTAAAAGGTCTTGGTCTGTCCTCCACTGTTACTAAGATATTGCTTTAATCTAGGAGGGTATCAACACTAAAAGTGTACTCTTCTATCTGGTCCAGAGTCATCAACTGGTGCCAAGAGCACAATGCAAATCCCAGAAAATCAGGAATTCCATCTGTTTTGGACTTTCTACAAGAAGCTGTAGACAGATTAGCCCAGTACCAGTGCACATCAGCTGTCTGCTCTTAGTAGCATACTATTTGCAGGATCCTTGGGCTCCCTGGCAAGACAATCCACAGGTAGCCAGATTCCTTTGAGCACTGGCAGTCATAGAATCATAGACTATCAGGGTTGGAAGGGACCTCAGGAGGTCATCTAGTCCAACCCCCTGCTCAAAGCAGGACTAATCCCCAGACAGATTTTTGCCCCAGATCCCTAAATGGCCTCCTCAAAGACTGAACTATTCCTCCCTGATTAGTTAGGCCACTCTTCCCAAAATGGGACCTTCCACTAGTTTTGAGGGCCTAGCCAAGGTATCCCTTCCAGTGTTAGCCTTTTTTAAAAATCCATTAAAACTTGCTTCCTAGTAGCTGTCACATTCACAAGGCATGTGTAAGAGCTGGCAGCCTTATCTATACAGGAGCCTTACTGCTTGTTCCATGAGGACAAGCTGGTGCTCAGAATACCAGAATCCTTTCTTCCTAAGATAAATTTCTCCTTACACACTTCCAAAGTGGTTGCGCTTCCTTTATTATGTCCAAAACCACAAGATACAATTGAAAAGGCATGGCATACTTTAAATATCAGATGAGTGTTGAAAAATCCATCTCAGGCATGCAGAATCCATGAGAGGATCAGGTTCCCTATTTGTGCCCTTTCATGCAAAATTCCAAGCCCTCTATTGCTATGTGGATTCAACTATGTATTGTGGAATCCTTCAAATCAGAGGTTCCTGTCTTGCAAGGTATCAAGGCATGCTACACGAGATCATTAGGAGCATCATGGGCAGAACAAACAGGTGTGTGCACTTCAGAAATTTGCAAAGCAGCCACTTTGTCTACAGCTAACAACTTTATTATTCACATAAAGGTGGACCTTCTGTCTTCTACAGAAAGTCTTATTTGACAGGAAGACGCTGCAGGAAGTAGCCCATAAATAATACAAACTTTTGCATGACCTCATAAAAAAGCGGATACTTCTTTCCTACCAAACTTTTGTCTCATAACCCTTCCTATATTTGTTCACTGCTCGCTACTTACCAGTCATCGAGAATTGTGGGAGACGCTGGGCTTCAGAATGGAAAATTTCTTATTGATAATTTCCTTTCTGCTAGTAGCGTCTCCCACAGTTCTATCCACCCTGGATGGCTCATGAACAAAGGGCCAGATATTAGGTGGAACCATTACCATATGACAGTCTTCCTTGTTCTAATGTACATAGTTATTTACTTATCTCTGGAATATTTGTTAATAATGGTGTTATGCAAGTTTTACAGCATGGGAATAACTCATCTGGCAGCATGTGGGAGCAGAGTGGGTGTGGTCAGACCATGTGGCGCCAAAACACCGATCCACCTCTGTGAGCTGCAGAGAGACTATTTTAGCCCAAATGTTCAGAATTGTGGGAGATGCTCCTAGCAGAAAGGAAGTTATTGTTAGAAATTTTCCAGTCTCAGCACAAAATACATCTCAAGCTAAAAAAGGAGAGGTCATAGAATCGTAGGACTGGAAGGGACTAGAGAGGTCTTCTAGTACAGTCCCCTGCATTCAAGGCAGGAGTTAGTATTATCTAGACCATCCCTGACAGGTTTTTGTCTAACTTGCTCTTAAAAATCTCCAATGACAACCTCCGTAGGCAATTTATTCCAGTGCTTAACCACCCTGACAGAAAGTTTTTCCTAATGTCCAACCTAAACTGCTCTTGCTGCAATTTAAAACCATTGTTTCTTGTCTTAATCTCAGATGTTAAAGAGAACAATTTATTTCTCTCTCCTCCTTGTAACAACCTTGTGTGTACTTGAAAACTGGTATCATGTCCCCCCTCAGTCTTCTTTTCTCCAGACTAAACAAACCCAATTTTTTCAATTTTCCCTCAGAGGTCATTTTTTCTAGATCTTTAATCATTTGTGTTGCTCTTCTCTGGATTTTCTCTAATTTGTCCACATCTTTCCTGAAAAGCGGCACCCAGAACTGGATACAGTAGTCCAGCTGAGGCCTAATCAGTGCAGAATAAAGTGGAAGAATTACTTCTCGTGTCTTGCGTACACCACTGCTGCTAATACAGCCCAGAATAATGTTTGCTTTTTTTGCAACAGTGTTACACTTTTGACTCATATTTAGCTTGTGGTCCACTGTGACCCCTAGATCCCTCTCCAGAGTACTCCTTCCTAGGCAGTCATTTCCCATTTTGTATGTGTACAACTGATTGTTCCTTCCTAAGTGGAAGGATGGTGGCTTGGTAACCTGGGAAGACCCTTGGGGGGCCCCCAGACCTGGCTTCCCGCTCTGGAAGGAAAGATGGCAGCTCAGTCACCTGGGCAGTCTCCAGGACAACCCAGGGGCATCCCCAAGATTTGGCTCCCTACTCAGCAATTACAGGCCAGTAAGCCTGACTTCAGTACTGGACAAGCTGGTTGAAACTATAGTAAAGAACAGAATTGTGAGACACATAGATGAACATAATTTGTTGGGGAAGAGTAAACATGTTTTTTGTAATGGGAAATCATGACTCACTAATCTACTAGAATTCTTTGAGGGGGTCAACAAGCATGTCGACAAGGGGGATCCAGGGGATATAGTGTACTTAGATTTTCAGAAAGCCTTTGACAAGGTCCCTCACCAAAGGCTTTTAAGCAAAATAAGCTGTCATGGGATAAGAGGAAAGGTCCTCTCATGGATCGATAACTGGTAAAAGATAGGAAGCAAAGGGTAGGAATAAATGGTCAGTTTTTAGAATGGAGAGAGGTAAATAGTTGTGCCCCCAGGGGTCTGTACTGGGACCACTGTACTATTCAACTTATTCGTAAATGATCTGGAAGAAGCTGTAGACAGCTGTATCAAATTGGCAGATGATACAAAACTACTTAAGATAGTTAAGTTCAAAGAAGACTGTGAAGAGCTACAAATGAAGGGTCACAAAACTGGGTGACTGGGCAACAAAATGGCAGATGAAATTTAATGTTGATAAATGCAAAGTAATGCACATTGGAAAACATAACCCAAGGATACATATAAAATGATGGGGTGTAATTTAGCTGTTACCACTCAAGAAAGAGATCTTGGAGTCATTGTGGATAGTTCTCTGAAAAATCCACTCAATGTGCAGCGGCAGTCAAAAAAGCGAACAGAATGTTGGGAATCATTAAGAAAGGGATAGATCATATTGCCTCTATATAAATCCATGGTACGCCTACATCTTGAATACTGTGCGCCATCTCAAAATAGATATATTGGATTTGGAAAAGGTTCAGGAATGATTAGGGGTATGAAATGGCTTCCGTATGAAGAGAGATTAATAAGATTGGGACTTTTCAGCTTGGAAAAGAGACGATGAGGGGTGAATATGATAGAGGTTTATAAAATCATGATTGGTATGGAGAAAGTAAATAAGAAAGTTTTATTTACTCCTTCTCATAACACAAGAACTAGGGGTCACCCAATGAAATTAACAGACTGCAGGTTTAAAACAAACAAAAGAAAGTAGTTCTTCACACAATGCACAGTCAACCTGTGGAACTCTTTGCTTGAGGATGTTGTGAAGGCCAAGACTATAACAGGGTTCAAAAAAGAACTAGATAAATTCATGGAGTATAGGTCCATCAATGGCTATTAGCCAGAATGGGTAGGGATGATGTCCCTAGATTCTGTTTGCCGGAAACTGGGAATGGGCGACAGTGGATGGATCATTTGATGATTACCTATTCTGTTCATTCCCTCTGGGGCACCTAGTATTGGCCACTGTAAGAAGACAGGATACTGGGCTAGATGGACCTTTGGTCTGACCAGCTTTTATGTTCTTATGAGTGAGGGCAGCTCATTAAATGAGCCACCATCTCTACTTCTGGAGCAGTGAGCTGAGTCAGAAGTACCAGACTATTTTCTGGTTCCCCCCAAAAAGTGCTGGAACGCTGTTACACAGTATTCTGGCACAACTTGAGCTCTGGTATGGGCCTTTTCCCTCTAAGTGGTGTCAGCTCTAATCCACCCCCAGGATATTGGTGGGGCCTTGGCCCAAAGGCCCATATAACTGGTACCCATTTTTGCTTGCACTTGTGAAGGCCTTATATTCAATTTGATGACATTTCTCTGTCTATCTGTGACACAATAACTTTTGAATTCCAAACCTGATCATTTCCCAAATTTCAGGGCGTGTTCTAGGCATCTGTGGCCAGAATCCCTGGTGATTCTGGGTGCAAACCGAACATTGGAAAAAAAAAAAGAAAAATGGGGGTCACTTGGAGTTGCTATCGTCTGTTTAATACTTTGCAGCATAACAATACCTCTGATCATTCTCCCAATAGAGTTCAACATGTTGACACCCTGAATGACAAAAGAGAAACAATTACTCTCTCTGGTTGGAGCTGTTGAGCAGGTACTCAGCCAGTAGGGGCAGCCAGAGAGAGAGGAGAGAGAAATCTTTCTTCCTTGCTTTGTAATGTCCTGCCCCTTCAAAGCCTGTACCAGGTGTGAGGAGAGAGCCCCTCCTGGCATCCACTCTTCCCAATCTAGGGGAATGAAAGGTACTTTGGGGGCAGAGGGACGAGAGAGACACAAAGCCCTTAGCACAGTGCAGATAAGAGGGGACCTTGGTGTGAGGGAAGGGGGAAATGGCGGGAGAGGGACTGTACCCTTGGCATGGTGCAGAGAATGGGGGGCCCTGCTATGGGGTGAGGGAGAGGAACAGAGCCCTTGGCAAAGTAAAAAGTACAGAAAAGGGCAACAAAAATGATTAAGGGTATGGAAGAGCTTCTTTATGAGGGAGATTAAAAAGACTGGCACTGTTATGCTTAGAAAAGAGACTACTAAGGGGAGATATGATAGAGGTCTCTAAAATCATGAATGGTGTGGAGAAAGTGAACAGGGAAGTGTTATTTATCCCTTCCCATACCACAAAAACCAGGGGTCACCCAATGAAATTAATAGGCAGCAGGTTTACAACTAGTATAAGGAAGTATTTTTTCACACAACACACAGTCAACCCGTGGAACTCATTGCCAGGGGATGTTGTGAAGGCCAAAAGTATAACTGGGTTCAAAAAAGAATTAGATAAGTTCCTGGAGGATAGGTCCATCAATAACTTTTAGCCAAGATGTTCAGGAATGCAACCCCATGCTCTGAGTGTTCCTAAATCTCCAACTGCCAGAAGCTGGGACTGGACGATGGGATGGATCTCTTGATAAATTGCTCTGTTCTCTTCATTCCCTGTGAAGCATCTGGTCACTGTTGGAAGACAGGATACTGGGCTAGATGGACAATTTGTTGGACTCAGTATGGCCATTCTTATATCTTCTCTGAATGATTATTACCTATTTCAGTCAGGAGTGGTAACGGTTATTTATGATTCTCTTTCACAAGCCAGGAAGGGCATGGGTCAGATTCCCAAGTTTTGGGTTGAGACTTCTTTAGGGTGTCCAGAACTTCTTGATGAGGGAATGTTCTGAACTCTGGGAATGCAGGTGGGCTGTTGGATAGGCAGCATGGATCCAGGCTGTTTGAGAAGCCTTCCTGAATTTGTCTAATCTTTTCAGAGAAGCAAGATGATAGCTCTTTGTGGTGCTTGATGCCCAGCTCTAATGCAGGTTGTGGGCATTCAGGATTGATAAAACACTTTACCACCCTTGATAGCTCCTTGGGGTGGCATTTGGCAGCCTCAGTGCAGGCTGAAAGAAAAGTTCTTTTGGCTTGTTATACAGCCTCAGCTTTGAGGAATTATTGCGTTTCATCTTGTCAGAATCAGCCTTTCTCCCCCACCATTAGCACTTGAGTTTCTGCTCTTCTCTCTTCAACTGGTGCAGGGTCTCAGAAAACCAAGGAGATCTGTGAGTGATGGAAAGAAAGGTGGCATTTGCAGGCAGACATATCAGTTGTTGAGGCTAGTGTAGAATGGTAATGATTCACCAGGTCCTCAGCTCCTGATCTTATGGCTGGAGTGCTGTCATCCTTTAGCAGGCTTTGTAATTTGTTGGAATCCATGGCTGAATCAGGATAATTGGGCTTTCTGGTTGCCTGGGCACTGGAAGATCTCTGACCAGTACTTTAATGAGGTGATGGTCTGTCCAAGACAGTGACTGGGTTGTTATGTCTTCTATCTTGACATCTAGGCCAAATATCAGGTCCCAGGGGTAACTGGCTGTGAGGATTGAACCAAAGATCACCTGTGAAAGTCCTAGGGATGTAAGTGAGGAGATGAGTTTTTGGATCCTTAGTAAGGTTTTTGAGTCTTTTTCTTCCCCTCCTCCATTTTGATATTGTTCCTCTGTTCTCTGTTTTACTAGCTACCTCTTTCCTTTCATTCTTCAGTTTCTTGACTCTACTACCTCTCTACACTCTCCACCGTTTCATGGGCAAGCATCTAAGTGAAGTTTAGTAGAATCCTCATTGTCTGTAGTACCATTAATCGATGCTTTAGTAAGGACTTCTGCAACTTTTCTTCTGCTGTCAGCATATAGTGAGGGGCAATGTGGGAAAAGAGCACAAGAACATGGATTCTTATAATAATTGTTCTGAAGGATCTAGCTCTCTAAAAGAAGACTCCTGAGAAGTCGTGAACTTTTAGCCTAAACCCACCAATTCCCTTCTTGTGTACATAAAAAATCATCAGGATATCATAGGTATGTTCATGGCTAAAATACCTTGAACTGTTCTGAAAATTAATTTTAGGATTTTAATGATCTTTTGATGATTTTGTGTTTACATTCTATAGTTCAGAAAAGTCATATTAGAAGTATTAACATGTCATGTCTACAAAAAATAAAATTTTAACTGTTTTTCCTCTCTTAGACCAAAGAATCACTTAGTGGAACAACTCCTTTTCAGGCACCAGGAACTTCACATCCACTTTCAGAGGATATGCCTAGTTCTGTAGAAACTGAGGAATATAAATTAAAGTTCTCTTCTTCAGACATTTCACCCTTATATGAACCAGTTTTTCCAGTGCCTAAAATTTCAGAGGATGAAGAGAGAAAACAAGAATCACAGACAACTGTAACATTGCCTTTAGAGGTAACATTTGTATATCAGCTTAATTATAGTCTTAGAGGTGGATTGTGTTGTGCCTCTCTGGTTATGTCTACACTGCAGCTGGGAGCTTGCTTCCCACGTGGGTAGACTGGCATGTGCTCGTTCTGCTTGAGCTATTGTGCTGAAAATAGCAGCATAGCCAGCATAGCTGAGGCAGCTGGGGACAGACTACTGAGTACAAACCTTCCTGGACCTCTTAGATACGTATTCTATGTAATCCCCAGATACTCCGCTGTTTGTAGTGCGCTACCTCAAGCAGAGCTAGCATGTTTGTCTACCCATGTCGGGAAGCACACTTCCAATCTCAGAGTATGTCTGTGCTACAAACCTATATTAGGTTGACTGTGTAATTACTGTGGTGGTGCATGTCCACACTACCCTCCTTGGGTTGGCGGTGCATGTCCTCCCAGGAGCGCTTCCACTAACCTAAGAGGGGCAGTGTGCAGAGCTGAGAGCCTGACAGGAGCCTGGCTGCCCCACAGGCTCCTGGGCTCCTGGCAGGCTCCCTCCCCCCAACCCCTACTCTCTGTTCCTGGCAGGGAGCTGGGGAAACCACCCGGGGTTTCTTGTCCCTTCGTTTCTCGCCAGGAGCGGGAGGGAAGCTGCCTGGGGTTTCTCTCCTCCCCGTTCCCCACTGTGAAATTGACAAGATAGCTGATGTAAGGAATGCAGTGTCTACACAGACATTATGTCGCCCTAAGTAGACCGACATAAGTCTTACGCCTTTCGTGAAGGTGGAGTCAGTGTAGTAGGGCACTTACATTGGTGGGAGGAAGGCTGTAGTGAAGACACTGACATAAGGCAGCTTATGTTGACCTAACTGTGTAGTGTAGACCAGCCCTCTGTGTAGATATACCCTCATAAAGTAAAGCCTGGGGAGGAGCATGGCAAATTTGTGCCTCCCAGATTCTGGATTTCCCCTGGAGCTGATGTAACAAATGGAGTAAGTTACAGCAGTCACTATGGCTACTCTAATTTATAGCAACCTTAACTGTCTGCTATGGTTTGCTCTGAAGTGTACAATTGCCAGAGTTCAGAGTACTTCAACATGGATAAAAAAAATCCATATAATATTTAGTTTCTTATAACATTGTTTTTACCCTTCAGTTTTATTGCTTTTTAGGCTGTATCCTCAGACATACTACAGGTGAAAGGAGAAGCAATCATAAAGGCTAAACCATTTGAAGTTCAGCAAAAGCTATCAGAAGATCTCCAGCAACAGCAATCACTGTCTTCGCTGTCCACATGGACTCCAGAGATCAAGTACCTTTTAGAACATTTCATTGTTATGAAGTGAATATTATGGAAAATATTTTTGCAGTTATTTTAAACACTGTTGGAAAAAATGAGTATGGTACATGTTTAAAGTAGGCATAGGGCCATTTTCTAAACCCTGGATCTAAACACCCAGAACTTTGGGGAAGATCAGATCCAAACTTTGTAGCTCAGAATCAACTGTAGTTTGAATTTGCTGTTCATCTCCTTAAAATACACCTCTACCCCGATATAACGCGACCCGATATAACATGAATTCGGATATAACGCGGTAAAGCAGCGCTTTGGGGGGGGGAGGGTGGGGCTGCGCGCTCTGGCGGATCAAAGCAAGTTCAATATAACACGGTTTCACCTATAACGCGGTAAGATTTTTTGGCTCCCGAGGACAGCGTTATATCGGGGTAGAGGTGTAGTTTTCAGTTACAACTTCTTAAACACAGGGCCAAACTCAGCCCTGGCATTGACTCAGCAGGAGTTGGAGGCACTTATGCTGGGGTAGAACTTGGTCCATACAATCCCAAGCATAATCTAATTAAAATACTAAAAAACAAACAATGGAAAATACCACAAATGTAATGTAAACAATTCCAGATTTAAGCCATCTTCTTTACTTATGTACTAAGAATTCATTGACTTGTATTTGTATTACAGTCAGTGCTTATTATTTCAGATTCAGCAGTAGAGGCAGGTGAAATTTTTTGGATGAAATATTTTTAGCTAAAAAATGTAGATTCAGGTTGACTGAAACTTTCTTTAATTCATGTCAAGTTTGCCATATTAAACACAAATTCAGAAAAAGTCTAAATGTTTTGTTTCAATATTTTTGAAATGAAACACATCTTCATATTTTGATTGGAAATTATTTTTCATTTCAGATTTTACTTGCATTTTAATTATTTTAAAAAGGCAGAAAAAATCCACCACCCTCAAGCAGAATGAAATGATTTATTTTGGGTCAAATGAAACATTTCTATCAACCCAAAACTAAATTTTGTAGACTTTTTTGATTCACCAAAATTTTTTTGTTTTGGGTTGACTCAAAACAAAAAAATTTTTTTGTGTTTTTTTGGTTCAGCTACCAAACCAAAAAATCAGATGTTCGCACAGCTCTATTCATCAGTTTTTAGTTGAAGAGCTGTAATTTGAGGACAGCTCCTATTTATCCTGTTGTTGTCATAGGTGGCATATGTCGTTCTGTAGCATGTGTACAGGTATAGAAAGAAGTACAGTTTGTACACTAATTTGTCTGATCCTATTCACTTCATGACAAGTGAGATTCTCTGGTTTTACAGTCTTCCCTGTCAATTAGATCTTTATGGCCAGATTGGTTTTGGTGTACCTTAAGTTGCGCCTCCACTTCACTCTTTATTGAGGTGAAAAAAAAAGGCTTTAATTATTAGCTTTTGTTGGGCTTAGGGCCCTGAAAGGTTTGCTGGACACAGAAGAGAGCCTTTTTATGGCAGGCCTAAAGTTTGTAAATGGATATTACTTTCAATTAAGTAGCTGAGACTAGACTCATGGGAAAAGAATGCCTAAGTTTATGAAACAGTCAAATTGGCATTTAAGTGACCCTCTGCATGCCATTGCTTATCTACATGGCTTAAAGATCATTTGGTTAGCAAGATTATATATTAAAACAAATAGTGACTGCAGACAATGAGTATTTTACCTTCAATAAATAGTTATTGTCAGATTATCAATGGTGCAGAAACTGCATGATTTTCTAAAAAAACTTTATTTAGTGCATTAGATGAAGGTAATGTAGGCCACACACATAGTATTGTTTTTTCACGTCCTCTTTTTCAAAGAATGATAAATAGTCTTCTTAAGGGAGACTGTGTGCTGTAAAAACACACCTTTACCTGCAACATGCCCCAAATATTTTAGTTTTTATTGCTTATACTTCTAGCTTGTCCATCTAGGGAAATGATAAACTTCTGTACTAGAAGAGTAAGAACATGGCCCAATTAAATTTATACTCAGACTGTTTTTATCTATTTTAAATAAGTAAACGAGAATTTCTGATCAATGTTCTGGGACAAATTTTAAGTTATTTCATTTTTCTTTATTTACAGAAATTACTGAAACTATTATATTTTAAAGAAAATTTAAGAACCTCTTTGCCCTTAGAAGGCTTATCTCTCTCAGTTATTTTTTTAATTTGCAGGTGAATTGTACTGTGGGGAAAATGTAGTTTTAGTGCATGGATTTAAATAAGCCAGGCTATTGCATAAATTTATGGAGTATATACAATATTTCCCCCTTTTAGAAATACCGTGTGAAATCTTTCTTCTCTTCTCTAAAATAAACCACTGTGTAAGCTTCTCATTAAAATATTGGTCTGCAATTTCACTCTCCTGAATCTAAGCTGACTCTGCTTTCAGTCCTACTATACTGCAAAACTTATGAAATCTTGTCCTGAAAATGTCCCCTCCACTGCTTGGGTTTCCAGGGGGTATCCTTTAATCCAGACTAGCCCATTCATCTCATGTGTGCCATGCCTGTGAATCCCCTTCTTTCATGGATACTCCTTTCTTTTTTATCCTTTTAAATTTTATCCCAAAGGCTTGATCCTGTACTCTTTATGCAGGAAAAGGTCCTACTGAGTTCAGTGAGCTTTTGCTTGGGTTGTAGGATCTGGTGAAATTTTGCATTGTTGCATTTTGCATTGTTGGGGGAACTAAGGCCTTGTCTACACCACAAAAGTTGCACTTGTTTAACTAAAATCAGTTTTTAAATTATTTTAGTTAAACTGGTCCAAACGCTTTTGTGGGTGTTGGCTGAAAACTATATTTGTTTAACTTGTGCCTGTACGTTTACTGACACACGCTAAATCAGTACGAACCAGATTTAAAATGAAAAAGAGTGTCCACACAAGGTTTTGCATTAATTTAACTAAATCATTTTAAAAAACACTTCTTTAGTTAAACCTAACCTTTTTGCATAGAATAGACATAAATAGTTTGGTTTCCCACCAGAAGTGGTTTCTCTTTCATATAACAATTAATTAAAACATATTGAAGTATATTCCCAAATAAAAATTAAACTGTAGTTTAAGGTTTTTCAGATATTGACAAAGTGGGTGTTGCAGTTTTCTTTAAAATCCATTGATGTCATTGCTGGACTGTATGATAACAATTTTCTGGTTCTTGAGTTGTATTATTTTCTTCTGAGTGGTGTTATATGTTATGCATATCACCTTGCCTTCATTTTCTATGGCTTCTTTATCTTTTCTCTTTGCTTTAATTCTTTTTGTAATATTTTTATAACATAAATATAAAATATTATTTTAGAACATGACAAATATGGCTCTGGGTTATACTAACCTCTGTATTTTTCTGATTTCATTGTTGTCATTAGTGCTGCTTTTCCCCTTCATAAAATAAAAAACATTATATTCTAGTTTGTGGAGTTAGGCACAGCCCTGAGCAAGAGGGTGATGTGTAAGCTTCATGATGCCAGGAGTAGCCCTGTGAGGTATCAAGAAAGTTACTCAGTGTAACTTTAACTTTGAATTTCCAGCATTTTCATACAGATGTTTCCCTTAAGTAATTGATAATCTGGAATTAAGTTTCTAAATACTTAATAATTGTGTTTGCCTGTTAATTTCCTTAGATCCTAAAACGAAAACAAAAAAACAATATATGTAAGAACAATTCAGTGAAAGGACCTTTGGTAGAATTTGTAACCTGCACGGGGATGGATTCTGCTTCTTTCTAAAAATCCACCCTCTCTAAATTCCACCCTTTCTCTCACTCACTCTCTGACCAAATGCCTCTTCCCTATTAACCCCCTCATGGGTCTCTGCTACCCATTTTCTTTCTTCATGGTGATGGCTTCGTTGCATCTGGAGGATGATGGGGTGCATGTAACGTGGATACGTGGGAGTCTCTGCATCATTACTTGGACCCTCTTTACTTCCCAGACCATCTTCATTCTCCCCAGGAGGTTTCCTGCCTGCCAGCCCCCCTGCATCATAGCTGTCTGCATCCTGAACATTTATTAACTCTGTGGAACCCATAAAATGGATGGAAATGTCTTTTAGGTCCTGATACATTGCCAGTTAAGTTAGTAGAAAGAGTCTCATTGACTTCAAGGGGTTTTGGATCAGGATCTTAAATGGTGGAAGTAAATAATTTTAACTTTCCAAAGTTAATCAACGGCATCAGGTCTTACAAAGCCAACAGATGAAAATCAAGTATCAGGGGGTAGCCGTGTTAGTCTGGATCTGTAAAAAGCAACAGAGAGTCCTGTGGCACCTTTAAGACTAACAGATGTATTGGAGCATAAGCTTTCGTGGGTGAATACCCACTTCGTCATTCACCCATGAAAGCTTATGCTCCAATACATCTGTTAGTCTTAAAGGTGTCACAGGAGACTCTGTTGCTTTTAACAGATGAAAATGAATGTGTAGTTTATGTGCCATACTGTTTTGGATTTATGAACTGAAAGAAGTTAGGAAAATGTTCAAGTGAGGATAGCACCTCATTAACATAATTAACTGCAAAACGTTATAAACATTATTTTCAAGGAACTCTGTCAAAAGAGTTAGGGTTTATCTACACTGCAGCTGGGAGCGTGCTTCCCAGGTAGACAGATACACACTCGCTCTGCTCAAGGTAGTAGTGTGGCTGAGGGTACAATGGGTAGCAGCTCGGGATAGCTGCCTGAGGACAAACCCACCTGACTCCTTAGTTACATACTTGGGTGGCTAGCCCAAGTTGCTGCTCATACTACTCGCAGCTACACTGCTATTTTTAGCACTCTAGCTCCAGCAGAACTAGCATGTGTTTGTCTACCCACCCTGGGTACACACACCCATAGTCTTACTCATGAGTTTGTGTAAAGTTTCAGCATATTTACATATGTGTACAATTTAGGGGTCTGATCCTAAGTACTTACACAAGTGAAACTCTCAGTGAAGCTCATGAAAGTTGTGCTTGAATCAGGAGAGTCAGACTTTGTCCTATGTAATTAATTTCTATTTTAGAGCTATTGTCAAGGATTTTAGCATCTTCTTTTCTGTTAATTGTACAATAATTTCTACTAATTATAGGTATTAAAACTTTAAATACAGTCTGTGTGATTCTAATGCAGTAGTAGAGTAATCCGTGTATGTGAAATCTAGATGTCAGAAGTCAGTGAAAATGCTAAAATAGTTGATTTTTATTTTTTTGTCCCCCAGAGGTCAACATTATCCAGTTATTCATCACCTGTGTACTGCTTCTCCTAGTTATGCATTGCCTGCTGATCTACAGCTGGCTTCAAGAGTATATCATACTTTCGACAGAAAAGGGCATTATTTTTTATTTACAGCAGAGGATCTGGACCACCAGGAGGAAGCATCACTCTGCTCAGAAAATATTACTTTTGAAGAACAAATAGAAAGAAATAGGTATGACTCTATAATCTGTTTTCAGTTTTATCTTTGTAATTATAATTTAGTTTAAATGAATATTAGTTAAAGAATAACTTTTCTGAAGGCTTCATTATTTTAATATTTTATTATTAAAGAAATGTTCTGGAAACAAAATGTCTTAATAGATTCTGTATTAGGCTGGTACTATAGACATATTTTAATATTCTTGTTTATATTAATCTTTAAACCACAAACACCTAGAATTTATATTGCTCAGAACATTAAAGATATTGTTTTGCATTTGACTTATTAAAACAAATAAATTTTTAGTTGTTTTTTCAGTGAATATTTCGCAGATTTGGCCTCAGTCTTGTAAATGCTTATGCTCGTGCTTAAATTTACAAACTTGAGCAGTCCCATTGTTGTCAATAGGACTACTTAAGGGAGTCAAGTTAAGCATGCCTATACGAATTTGGACTTTAAAGCTCAGTCCCACAAACCCAACTCACAGAAGACCTTACTCACACAAGTCCTAATTCTGGAAGCACTTACATTTCTGTCTACCTTTAAGCATCTGAGTAGTTCCACTGATTTCAATGGAAAATTCATGTACATAAAGTTAAGCACAGATTCAACAGGATTACTTACATGAATAAGGGCTACTCATGGGAGAATGTGTTGCAGGATTTTAACCTTTAATTTGTGAGTAATTTATTTAAAATGAAGTGACTGTTATGTAAAATATTTTAAAAAAATCCAAGTTAACAATGATAGTACAACATACCAAATAACAGGATGATCTGTCACCAGGTAATTTGTTTTACAAGGAACAGTGATGAAATGTTAACAGTACTCTGCTTTGTTGTCCGCCTACTCATGTTTTATAGTGTTGTCACAACACTAATTTATGTCTTTCCAGTGTCATTCAGATTAGTTCCTAAATCTCTTTCTGATTTTCATACAGGTTTTTGCAGTTCCTTTCTCTTAACTGAAAAAAAGTTAAATATAAATGAGAATTATCTTTCACCTTCATTCTGTAGTGATTATTTTAGTTACATTTTTGCTGTATTTATTTTTGACTTACTGTGTTCTGTTGATGCTCAGGAGATTTAGGATTGGACATCTAATACTTTCAGATTTTCCTTCATAATTTTCAGACTGGTTGTTTCCTTCTTATGGGCTGTTTATATCCCCAGATCCAGTCAGACTTACAAAAATATAAGATCATTTCTGATAAGTTTGCAAATGACTCAAACATTTGTTAGAATGGTAAATAATGACGACAGGTCAGTTCTACACAGCAATCTGGATTGCTTTCTAAGCTGGGCTCACTTGAACAACATGCATCTTTAAAAATACAGGCACATGTAAGGTTATACTGCTAGGAATAAAGAATATAGGTCATGCTTGCAGGATGGGGGACTATATTTTGGAAAGCAATAACTCTGAAAGGGATTTAATAGTTATGGTAGATAATCAACTGGACATGAACTCCACAGGAATACACTGGCAAAGACAGCAAACATTATCCTTGGATGTATATTGCATAGATGAAGGGAGGTGATATTACCACTGTGTATGGAATTAGAGAGACTATTACTGCAATACTGCAGTCCGTTCTGGTGTCCACAGTTTTTAAAAAGGATGTTGACAAATTGGCTCAGAAAAGAGCTATAAGAATGATTCCAGGTCTGGAAAACCTCTTGCCTTATAGTGAGAAATTAACAAAGCTCAGTCTATTCTGTTTATCCAAGAGAAAGTTAAGAAGTGGCTTGATCATGGTCTATAAGCACCTGCATGGGGAGAAGGTTTCTAAAGAGAGCCGTTAATTTAGCAAACAAAGGAATGTGAGTTTCTCTGTCACTTGAAGTGTTTAAATCAAGCCTGAATATCTCTGAAATATAGGCTAGAGCTCAACCAGAAATTATAGACTTGATGCAAGAATCATTTGGTGACATTTTATGGCCTGTATTATGCCAGAGGTCAGACTTGATGATCATAATGATCTCTTATAACCTTAAAATCTGTGAGTCTATGAAAACTCTTGAGCTATCAAGATGACAGGAGTTTTTCTTGAGTATTTTTGTCAGGCTACTATGTTAGGCCCTTTCTTTCATTTTGATCTATGCAGACTTCTTTTCCTCCCAGCAGACTAATACTGCTCCTTTCAATTTGGGTATTCACCAGGGGTGAAGTTGTCTTAGAACCCCAGTGAGTAAAATAAGCAAAACAGAGATTTTGTGTTTGTTTTCCCAGATGTGGATCTGCCCCAATTAATGTGTTCATCCCATTCCAAATCTAATTGATCATTTCCATAAAGTAGATAAAAAATTCCTAACAGTGTGAAATATCTGACTCTGTTTTTGAATGGTGACAGCTAGGATTTATCAGGCTATCAAATACCTGGAAATATGCCACCTGGTGAAACTTTGTGAAGTAAATGGTGAAGGAGGAAAAATCTTCTGTAAAGTAAGCTCTCTAACACATGACAGGTGAAACTTCCCAAGCCCCTAAAGTTTTTTTGACCCCTAAGGGTCATGGCTGGGAAGACAAGTCATGCTCCTTACTGTTGGCTGCATAACACCCATAAACTAAACTCTGTCCTTGGAACCATTCAGTCAGTTCCTTTCAGACCATAATCAGAAGGCCTTCTCCAATTAATGGCTTAATTGATGCATGGAGCCGGAGACGGATTAAGGGTTTGTGGGGCCTTGGGCCAGAGCAAGTGAGGGCCCCGCCCCACCCCTTCTGCCTGAAGTCCCCCCTCCCCTGCCTGGCGCTCCTGCCGGGGAAATGGGGTTGAGGCACGGGGGCAGCACCACCCGCCCAGCGCTCCTGCCAGGGAGAGGGGTCAGGTGCCCTGCCCCACCTGCCTGGCACTCCTGCTGGGGAGCAGTGTTGGGGTGTAGGGGCTTCCTTTGCTCCCCAGCAGGAGTGCTGGGTGGAGCAGGGCAAGCCTCCGCACCCTGACACCACTCCCCGGCAGGAGCACCGGGCAGGTGGAGCGGGGCACAAGGCTGCCCATTTTCCTGGGGTCCCCCAGTTGTCTGGCCCAGTGGCAATTCATCACTACATGGAGCATTGGCCTTGTCACCAGTGCTGCTGGTACCTTGTGTACTGAAGAGCTCATTTCTCCTAGATCTTCCATCATTGCATCATAATCAGTACCCAAATTGGAGCAGAGTGGTGACCAGGGAGACGATGTTTGCTACTTGTACTCTAATGGGCTGATGTTCTAATCTGTTGCCAAATATGGTTCTGCTGCAAAGAAGCAGGAGGATAGCAACTCTGCGACAGAGGGTCTGACTTTCCCCCAGTTTTTTAAAAAGCTGGCTATGTTGGCTCACCCAGTTAGCACTGGGCCAGGAATCTACAAGGGTTGTAGCCAAGTGATAACTGAGCCATGCAATAGGATTGCTGTGACTTTGCAAAGTATGTTGGACCAGCTGGTGAAGCATTTATGGCTGCCATCTTGTATTGTCTCCAAGGATCTTCCCTGAGGATGCTGCCAGCTATGGGTCCTACCTTTTGCATGAAAGATAGTGGTTGAAATGGCCATGGCCAGAGGAAAGGCCAGCTAAGTATGTGGTACTACACCTCAGAACTCTAAACTTGAGTTATAGGATTCATTTGGAGTAAGGAGTTTACTACTGCTGCAGCCCTTCCTGTTGTGGTCTGTCTTGCCTTCCTGATTAAAAGGCAGATTAAGGTCCCTCAGAACAAGCACCAGGGGCCTAAAAAGCTAGTTCATGAAGGTGCAGACCTGGCCTGACACCAGACATTGGCACTCCTTGATGGGGGTGATACAGTACAGAAAATTATTGATTCAGTTTGATGCCAGCAGGTGCACTTGGCTGAAAACTTCTGCATTCCACTGGGAGGTTCAGAAAAATCTCAAAAACTTATTCTAGTTCATAGAGAACTTCTTTGGTAACAGGTGGAGACCTCTGTAAAGAAGGCAAAGGAGTTGAAAATGCTTTACTTAGAAAGGCTTTCACATCAGTATCTGGTTTCAGAAGACTCATTATCCCAGTGTATGTGGCATGCAGCTTAAAAAGCAGAAGCCAGAGTTTCCTAAGCCATTAGCTATAATTCCTCTTCCTCCCCCTCATTTTCTTTCTAGCGACTTCTGGAAAGATCCCAACAGTTTAAGATTTGTGAGTCAGAGAATGTTAAGTAAAAATATTTATCAATATATGATTCTTTTGTATCTTGGATGCAAGAATCTAGAACAACTTTTGATGATTTTAATATTTTCAATAGTTGGCTAGTTCTCTAGATTTCATGCGACTCAATTTGTGTTATGGCCTCAGTTTTTCACTTTTTTATTTACTAGGCATAGAAGTGACCATTATATTCTATGTTTATGTTTTATCTATATGTCATTGATGTTGATGGAACTACTTGCATGCTCAAATATTTAAGCATATGCCCGACCTTGCTGAATTGAGGAAGTATAGAAAACTGAATCCTCTGGAGCACTGCCATCTTGTGGCACCACCTACTGCTTTGAAGTTGCCTGGTTTTAAATCTTTTTAAATCTACGTGTCACGTGAACCTACAATCTCTTAGGTACAATTTGTCCTACACTAGATAAGGCTTCTTTCAGAATATAATTGCACACACTAAACTACTGAGACATGACTAGCTCCTGCATTTGACAAATTCTACAAATACAAAGAATCAAATTAGAGCAAACATGTTTTTCTGTGCAATGGATAGTCAAATTCAAATTATACTGATGTCTGCACTTACAATAACAATAGTTTAGTTCTCTTCATGTGTTGGTGCTAGTTTTAAGTACTTAGATTGACATTTGTTTGCTTGTAATAAAGACCAAGGAAATCTGCAGTGGTCTATTAAAGAATTTTATAGTGGGACTGATCAAGAAAACTATAGCTTCAAGTTTGCCTAAGATAGTAATGCTTATTTCATTCTTCTGTTTATCTTATGCACCAATATGTTCAATTTAAATACTAAAAGAGGTATTTTGTCACCCCATTTCCAGCAAAAATATCTTACAAGAATTGTAAAAA